GTTGTTGTTGTTGTTGTTGTTGTTGTTGTTGTTGTTGTTGTTGTTGTTGCTGCTGCTGCTGCTGTTGCTGTTGCTCCTGTTGTTGTTGTTGTTGATGATGCTGCTGCTGATGGATCCCCGAAAGGGGGTTTGAAGGAACCGCAGCAGCAGCAGCAGCAGCAGCAGCAGCAGCAGCAGGACTGTCAATACCGGACTTCTCTTGCTCAAGGCTAGTGCTGCTGTTGCTGCTGTCGCTTGCGTTCCCGTTAGCTTGGCTGCTGTTGCTGTTGCTGTTGCTGTTGCTGCTGCTACTGCAGCTGCTGCTGCGTGAAGCAATGATGTTCTTGCACAGCAGCAGCAGGAAGCTGCAGCAAATGTCTTTAATATCTCTCTCAGTGAATTCGCCTCTCCCTGGATAAAGAGTAGGGCGATAAACGCCCCTCCAAACGTCCCCACAGCGCAGCACAGCCCGCTGATGCTGCTGCTGCTGCTGCTGCTGCTGCTGCTGTTGCTGCTGCTGCTGCTGTTGGGGTGCATCGGCAGCGTTGTTTGCTTCTAAAGAAGCGTCCGATGCTGCTGCAGGGGAGCGCCCGAGGGAAGAAGAATACATGGCCGTGAATTAGCTTCTATTGCTGCTGTGATTCGGCTGCAGCAGCAGCAGCAGCAGCAGCAGATGCTGCTGCTGTGCTGCTGTCACGAATTCTCACTCTGCTGTTGCTGTTGAGGCGGTATACAGCTGCTGCAGCAGCAGCAAACTGCAGTGCTACCCATACCTAGTATAGTTGCTGCTGTAAGCTTGGCTGTATGCTGCTGCTGCTGCTGCTGCTGATGCTTCTGCAGTTGCTGCTACAGAATCTGCTGCTGCTTCTACTGGTTACAAAGCAGCAGGTACAGTGGAGGCTGTAGAGGTGTACAGACACTCGGAAGAGCCTTCCCTATTAGTGCTTCAACAGCAGCAGCAGCAGCAGCTACTGCTGCTGCTGCCGCCGCAGGAGCTGCTGCAGCACAAGGCCCTGAGAGCAGCAGCAGTAAGATTCTGTCTGCTGCTCCCCCCCTAAGATCAGAAAGAAGTGTATAGACAGTTTTTATGCATTTGTTTTAATTGCTTCTTCTGGCTCTCAGAGTATAGAGGGTTATTAACAGCAACGCAGTCTTCAGCGACAGCAGCCGCGGCCGCCGCTGCTGCTGCTGCTGCTGCTGTTGTTGTTGCTGCTGCTGTTGCTGCTGCAACTTTGCTCTATTTGTCGTAGCTGGGGAACGCTAGAGAGAGAGAGGGGGTGGTGATTCTTTATAAAAGAAGAAAAGCTGCTGTCGCTAAGGGGCTTTCTGCTTTGCTGTGACTCCCTCAGCAGCAGCAAGGAATACAGCAGCAGCAGCAGCAGCAGCAACAGCAGCGGCTGCGGCCTCTCGCTGTTGCTGCAATTCGGATACAGCTATATGGGAATTCTCGTCTTCCCTTCGGGTGTACGTACATTGCAATCTATCAGCAGCAGCAGCTGCTGCTGCTGCAGCAGCACATGCTAGGCACCCAGGCTTGCCCTCCAAGCATCTGTACAGCAACACAGCAGCGAAACAGCAGCAGCAACAGCAGCAGCAGCAGCAGCAGCAACAGATACAACTAGTCTTGCTGCATTTCCTCTTGGTCTGCTGCTGCTGCTGCAGCTTCAGCAACAAACTCGTGGGCCAGCAAGCTGCTGCTGCTGCTTTCTTTCAGCAGTACGAGACACAATAGCAGCAGCAGCAATAGCAGCAGCTGCAATAGCAGCCGCAGCAATAGCAGCAGCAGTAGCCGCAGCAGCGGAAGCAGCAGCAGAACCAGCAGCAGCAGTAGCCGCAGCGGCAGTAGCAGCAGCAGCAGCAGCAACAGCAGCAGCAGCAGCAGCAATAGTAGCAGCCGCAGCAGCAGCAGCAATAGCCGCCGCAGCAGCAGCAGCGGCGACAGCGCGTACGGCCTTAGAGTGGAAGGCCCTTAGGCTTTTCACAGTCGCTGCCTCTGAGCGCACCAGAGCAGCACCAGCAGCAGCAGCAGGCGCAGCAGCTGCAGCAGCTGCTGCAGCAGCAGCAGTTGCAGCAGGATTAGCATCAGCAGCAGGGACTAATAAGACAGCAGCTTGTACAGGTGCGTTTGCTGCGTCTCTTTGCTGCCACCTCTACCTTCCGTATCTGTACTTTTCCTTATAAGGGAATCTGCTGCTTCTGCTGCTGCTGCTGCTGCTGCTGCTGCTGCTGCTTCTTCATCTGCTGCTGCTGCTAGTGCCAGTATACGAGCGAATGGGCGCGGCACTGCAGCAGCACTGCAGCAGCACAGCAGCAGCAGAACAGCAGCAGCACATCAGCAGGGATCATGATACATTGCGCAGCAGCGTCTACAGCGGGTAGCAGCACTGCTATATACGGCAGCAGCAGCAGCAGCAGCAGTAGCAGCAGCAGCAGCAACAGGTTGTAAAGAGGGCAGCTCTCTGCATATGGGGATGATGAACGCCGCCTGAGTCTGCAGCAAACAGCCAATGCTCCTCAAAAA